TATTCCATAATTAGGGACAAACAGACAAACGGGCTTTATTTAAATTGTCCAACAAGGTGATGGTTTTTGTTTTCGGCTGTGCGATTTCCAGTGTTTCGCCTTGTTCACTGGTATGAGGACCAAATCTTTGTTGAATACGTCAACGTTCTTTGTGCACCTTCGCACTTTCTCATAATCCCCACCGGATAAAGCGGAAAAAAAGAAAGTGTCGAAGATGGCTGCTAGACGTTCATTTTGAAGTATCCATTAATAATTTGATCCCCATACCATGTCATGTCTAAATCTTTTAAGAACTAGACTAGATCTTTTAAGATGGTCTAGAACAGTTGTGTGGTTGAATTTTCGATTTCTACTGGCCTTCTTGTTAGCGGTTGGATTAGTTTCGCCTTGAAGATGGCTGCTAGATTGTCACGTTCAGTTTGAATCAGTTTGAAGCTCCATAATATTCATTAATAATTTAATCCTCATATCTTGTCTTGTCTATATTTCTTATGTCTAGTTTGTTATCTTTTTTATAATAATACATAATCATAGTACAACTCGTACGTCTATAAAAATACTTATAATTTAACTATATATAAAAGTTCTGAAATCAACATTGAAAATTACAAAAAGAAAGTGTCGAAGGTGGCTAGATTGTCACGTTCGTTTTGAATCAGTTTGAAATATCAATTAATAATTTGATCTCCATACCTTGTCTAATCTAGCTGTTCGAACATTTGTGCGGTTGAATTTTCGGTTTGAGGACCAAATCTTTGAATCAGTTTGAAGTATCCATTAATAATTTGATCTCCATATCTTGTCTTGTCTATTTTCCTTGTGTCTAGATTGTTATCATTTTTATAATAAAACATAATAATAATACAACTCGTACGTCTATAAGAATATATACAATTTAACTATATTTAAAGTTCTAAAATCAACATTGAAAATTAAAGGGTCAACGGTGCCTAAGTCGTGTTCATTGATAGTTTGGTTTCTATTCCTTGTCTTATCTAGATCTTGGAATAGTTATGCGGTTAAATTTTACATTTCTTGCTAGGTGATTTTTCCTGCCAACTGACTGGGAAGAGATAATTTTCTCTTAACTTCGTTACTCACGGGAAGCGATACTTGTTTTGGACAAAAGGAGGAAGCCTGTAAAGTTCTTAAATGAAAAAAACCATTTATACACAACTTTTTATAGTTATAAGTCATAGTCTTTCTTGTACACTTGTAAGTAAGTGTAAGTAAGTATTTTCTAAAGGTTAATAGTTTTTTTTTTTTTGTAGGTTATATATCTAATTTTAAGAACACATCATAGCAATTATTTCTTATATTCGGTTAACACAAATAGCTACACACTAAATAGAATCGTATTTTATATTTACGCGCCAATAATAATTAACATGCTAATAATACAACTCGTACGTCTATAAAAAAAATGTTAGAAAAATATAATTTAACTATATTTAAAAGTTCTGAAATCAACATTGAAAAGTAGATTCTTTTCGAACTCGTTTTTGAAGTATTCCATAATTATGGACTAACAGTCGTGAACGGGCTTATTTTAACTGTCCACCGAGGTAATGGTTTTTGTTTTCGGCTGTACGATTATTAATTTCCAGTGTTTCGCCTTGTTCACTGGTATGAGGACCAAATCTTTGTTGAATACGTCAACGTTATTTGTGCACCTTCGCACTTTCTCATAACCCCCACGGGATAAAGCGGAAAAAAAGAAAGTGTCGAAGATGGCTCCTAGACTGTCACATTCATTTTGAATCAGTTTGAAATATTTATTAATGATTTGATCCCCATACCTTGTCTTGTCTAGATCACAGTTGTGCGGTTGAATTTTCGATTTCTATTGGCGTTCCTGTTAGCAGTTGGGGTTTACATTTCTTGCTAGGTGATTTTTCCTGCCAACTGATTGGGAAGAGATAATTTTCTCCTAACTTTGTTACTCACGGGAAACGATACTTGTTTTGGATAAAAGGAGGAAGCTTGTGAAGTTCTTCAATGAAAATAACCATTTAGACATAACATTTTATAATTATTATAAGTCAAAGTCTTTCTTGTACACTTGTAAGTAAGTTAGGTAAAATACATAATTTTAAGAACACATCATAGCAATTATTTCTGATATTCGGTTAACACAAATAGCTACACATTAAATAGAATCGCATTTTATATATTCGCGCCAATAATAATTAACATGATAATAGTACCCATACCTTGTTGGTATGATCCCCATACCTTGTCTTATCTAGATCTTGGAACAATTGTGCGGTTGAATTTTCGATTTCTACTGGCGTTCCTTTTAGCGGTTGGATTTTACATATTTTCTTGCTAGGTGATTTTTCCTGTCAACTGACTGAGAAGAGATAATTTTCTCTTAACTTCGTTACTCACGGGAAGTATGAATACTACAGAAAAAAATCCGCCAGCGGGCCAAAGACCGAAAAATAGTTAGATAAATATACCTTTTACTGTGTTATATAAAAGTTCTGTAATCAACATGGAAAAGTAGTTATGTTAGGTTTGCCCAATTCCACTTTGACGGTCGGGTGAAACATGCAAATTGCAATAACAGTACACTGATACTCTCCGCCAGCGATGTATGATAAAGCAGCTACTATGCCGTATGTTATTAATGTCTCCTTTTTTTGTAACGGTAAAATCGAAACCGGTCGACGTCCATTGCGCAGACGACTAGCTAGACGACAGCTTACAGAAGAGAGTAGCGAAAGGCGAACGTGTGCATTGAACGGCTATCAGTACTGTAATGTTAAATTATGTTTTTCTAACTTTTTTTATAACTATATTTAAAAGTTCTCAAATCAACATAGTTCGTGATGGGTAATTTTATAAACGTTTATGTTTCGTTTCGTCATGAGAGCACTATAGGTCGGTGTGTTGTACGAATTGTGTATGATATTGTATAATTATTATACAATAATGTAGAATTGTGTTTAAATATGAATTGTTATATTTTATTTTTATTTCGAACATTTAAATAAATACATATATCCAGCACCCAACATATTAGTATCACACTTCGAAAGCAGAGACTGGACGACTGTGGATGGATAACTAGCGTATAAAAGTACAGGGTCCGGCAAAAAAACCTCCTCTATTTAGAAATGGCACTGTGTGAGTTGTGGTGGTGGTACATCGGTGGAGGGGGTGGGTATCGATCGATAGCTGTATACGTGCCATTTCCTCTGACCTAACCTAAACCAGTTTGCTAGGAACCCTGATGAGGCAGTAGTAGTCTGGTTCCAACAAGACGGAGCCACAACTCACACTTTGCGGCGTTCACTTTTAACTTTCGGCAAAGGCCATAGCTCTTCGTGTCATTTTCGGTATCCAATGGCAGCCACTGCCTTGGGGATATTGCCTTCTTGAGTCCCCAAAAAAAAAAACCACAAGCGGATAAATCGGGTGACCTTGGCGGTCAGGTGATGGCTCCTCGCAAAGAGAAAAGAAGACGTCCAGGAAACAATTCTCTCAAGATTGCTAGGGGCCGCCACGAAGTGTGACCCGTGGCACCGTCTTGTCGGAACCAGAGTTCTCCCTCATCGTGGTTCCTAGCAGACTGGTTTAGTCAGAGGAAATGCCACGTATACCGCTATCGATCGATACCCCCTCCACCGATGTACCACCACCACAACTCGCACAGCGTCATTTCTGAATAGGGGAGGTTTTTTTGCCGGACCCTGTATATAATGCACATTTTTAAAACTATCTTTTCAGATGAAAAAAAACCCAACATAGTGTTTAAATTTTTGTTCACGATTTGTTGACGTTTTTTTTGTCAATTCAGTCTGGACAAATGTTTTTTTACAGTTTTGTTTTTTATAAATAGAAAAATGTCGAGTGTTTGGTTCTTTTTTTTAATACCTCCGCGTGGACCCGGCTTAAATAGGCGCCGAGCACTAGCACAAGTTCGTATACCTAGTTCTATAATATCTGCATTTACACTCAGGCTGTATAAATATTTAGTTTAGTACACATCAGGTGGACATAAGTTTACAGGAAATAAAAGAGGCATTCAAGTAGAGTGTACACTGTGCACATATCCATCGTTGCGACGCTCGAAATGGATTTGTGGTTCGTTTTAGAGGGGGCACATTGGTTACAAAATAACCATTTATCATTGATATTTAGGTTTTATTTATGAAATATCTTTTTGATAAGGTACGGCATTGAGTATTGACATATAAAATTATGTGTACCCATGTCTTTATTTGATTATCTTTATAATTACGAAGATAAACGTATCAATGATATTTTATAGTATTACAATTATTTTACCGATAATAATTTTGATTAATTAAAATAATTCGTAATTATTATTACCAATCAATTGTAGCACATTTTATTTAAAATCTCAATTACTTTGAAAACAGCCGAAAATAACTACAGCTTTAAAAATAATGAGTTAAACATCTTTAATTTTTGACTAAAAAGAAAAGCATAGGGCCCTATTCAACAAAGTTCCTAATACATTTATCAAATAACATTTCAGATCATGTTTTATATTGTAAGTTTTTGTATGACACATACATTTTATAATACCTTTTAGGTATTATAGGTTATTATTTCAACAGTCAAAGTTACAGTTAGTTGAACTCGTTTGTAAAAAAAAAAAAAACGACAGTTTCAATCCCTGAAAATTAGCTGTTTTTACCTCTCACTTAAAATGTTGGCGTTTTATTTTCAAGATACTGTTATCATTGATATCATATCAACTTGGCCCACTTACTTTATTCTTTCCGTTGGCGCCACGTTAAAACTACAATAACCACCCCACTGGTGCCACCCACAGTGTCGGGAAGTGCGGGAAACAATTGCTTAGGAATGTCATCCGGCGTCAGTCTCATTCGCGAAACGAGAACGTCCCCTCTTTGTACGGAGTGTCGCTAAAGTGTTTGAATAGTCTGTGTTTATCCAACCAACATTGTTGTCCAAAAGTCAGCTTTAACGTTTAATAATTCTATTACAAACATTTCAATATTATGGAAAAGACGTCGGACACCGTTAACAACGAACTATCCAAATCTCTTGATACCGAAGTGCCGCATGTGTCTGGAACTGAAGGTATATTATCCGTGTCGAGTGCAAAGTCGCCAAAAACGCACAAAAACCAGAAAAAGCGTAAAAAGAAATCAAAAAAATCTACAAAGAAACGCTCAAAGTCTGCCGAAGGCAGTGTTGCACTAAAAACTGAAAAAGACAACCGAGAAGGGGTTCAATCTGATATGCCAGCTACATTAGATACAGTTGACCTCACAGCTAATGCAGAGAGTGATGAATTCAAAACCAATTTATCTATATTGCAGAAAAACAGTTTTGTAGAGGAACAGTCTACAAAACAAACAACAGTTGAAAAAAAAGCAAATTCACCAAACATTTCAGGTAAGTGTTTTAAAAAAAATCAGTTTTTAGTTATGTTCTTTTAAAGATCAGTTGTTATTTTTACTTATAATTGTATAAAAAAAAATATATATAATGATAACAATAAAAAAAATCACTTAAGGTTAGGAAATGTGTAGATGTGCGCTAATTATGGTTTCTGCGATTTGTAATCAGAGGCGGATGTGCTAAATTTTTGTTTCTGCAAAATCATCCAACTTAGAAGTACATGGAACTGACTCAAGGTAGACTTTGCTTCGTCAAATTGTAAAATTGTTTCCATATATTTTAATTATCGCGCACATTAAGTAAATTATTTTAAATTTTAAATAAAATCTAAATCATTCTTTGGTTTTTTTACCTGAAAAAATGTTTAGAAAATATAAAAATGCTAAATCCTGTATTTGTAAATAAGAATAAACATTTTCACTAATCACTACATTACTGTAGCAATTGTTATGGTTTGTTTTTCTTAATAATTTTTCTTAACCCGCTCTCTAAGTGTATTGGGGTTCATTAAGTCCCAGTGGTGCAAATAAGTTTACTGAAAACCCCGTGGAAAAATGTTTTGTAAATTTTGCTAGGCAACAATTTCTGTTTTAACACACACACACTAAAGAAGTGTTAATTAGAGGAAATATTTTAAACTGTTATTTATTAGTAAGTACTACATTTGGTTGGGTTCTTGAATATAATTGTACGAGTCGATTGTTGAGTAGCGAACACAATGTACAAACGTCGAAAAGGCCTACACAGAAAAAACGCCCTACGAGCAAAGATCATAATACAATATGAGAGATAGATGTTTTTACCGTTATAGGACAGTGTTGGACATTGCAATAATTCCCATATATCTACATACCTATTATAATTACTACTATGATAGGTAGTGGCATGTAGGCAGTGTCTAATGAGGGTATTATACCTATATTATTGCTAAAAATGCGAATGAGATAAGGCCATATTATTATTTGCTAAAAGCCGCCTCGAGGATCTTTGTTTCCAGAGCAACCGGCGTCCCTGCGCAAACATACCCGTTTCAGCCGAATCGATTTTTAGGGTCAAACCCCAGGTGGTCCATTACATCTCTTCATCCCCTCGCCTTTCGCATAAACGCAAACAACCGCCGCCACCACTTTTTAGTAGAAAATATACAACGACAGTAGAGTATAACGTTACAATGTACAGCCTAGCTTAGCTTACCGAACTTGCCAAAATTCCGTTGTATAGTATATTGTACCTTCTATAACACTGTTATACACTCTCGGTTCGTTTTTCAATGTATTAGGTAACACTGGTTGGAAAACAAAGATCTTCAATTTCCTGAACCGGTCGGATTGAAGGCTTTGATTATTTTTTTTCCTCATCTGCAGTTTGTAGGTTGCTGGTTTACAGTTTGCAAGTTATAGGTATAAATATTATTAGTGCCACCCCACCCCAAAAAATTAATAAACACACAAAAACATTATACATATTACCATAAGACGTAAACACTATGATATGATTTGTGTAATGTTTTAAGACAATGTTTAAGTGTACATTTCTCACTAAAATAATATAATATAATAATATATATTTAAAAGTAAAGTAACGAATGGGGTGGCCTTAATACGAATGATATATAACAGCATACACTATTAAATATGTCCATCATGATATTTTTAGAGGTGAATTTTTAACAAAATCACCTATAGTAAAAAAAAATGTGACACTCAGCTGTTGTAATAGGCGAGGGGCATCAATTCGACCTTTTAAAAAAACCCAAAATAAAACGAGAGCTAAAGTTCTTGTTCTTGCTAAATATATATAGATACATTGTGATTAATATGATTTATTTTTCAACACAACAAAACTATTATTTTTACATTAACTAAAACGATCATTGTCTAGAACCAGAGGCGGATAAGCTAAATTTTTGCTACCAGTAAAATTTACAATAAAGGTCCAGAGCTATGTACTTATAAGAACACGGCATAATAATGAGATAGAGATGACGATAAAGATAATTTAATTTATTCATTCAGTATACGATTAATCCAGTAGTAATATAATATATAAAAAGTATAAATCCTGCATTTACAAGATAAATAAACACACATTTTCATTAATAATAAAAAATCTTAAGTCGTTGTAGGTTCTATTGTTATTTCTAGTTTTTCATTACTTTTATTTTTTACATAAAATTACTAATTATTTACTTTTTTTATTATATTTTTAGAGCTGTGTGGACTTTTAAGACTTAAATACACATAATTCAAATAAATCTTTTTAATTAAGAATAATTTGCTGAAAATTCTGGCTGGCCGATAGCCAGTTTTGGATAATTATATTCAAAATTATTTTAAGTTTAATTTTTAAGACGCGAGGAAGGGTATTTCATTTTAAAACTTTAATTAGAACGTATATATTTAATTTTACAGTTCACCATTTGGTGTAAAAGTCTAATGATCTCTGGAAAAAAAATATATAAAACTTTTAATATTGTCTAATAACACAAACTACGAAATTGAAATTAATTTAAGAGAACAAGAGTGTTTTTTTCCCTTCATGAATTGCCCTGTATAGTGTATTATAAGTATAGAAAAAGCATACTGAGAAAAGGGCCTCCCAAAATTTTCCAGGGGTCCTGGTGAGCCTATTCGCCCATAGATTAATAGGCTGAATAAGGGATAATCTGCTAAAAAGTGTTTCTCAATGGATAAAAAATACATTTATATGTTATCTTCTGTTGTTTAGTTACTTCAGTTAAATTAAATATATTCATAAATATTAATGTTTTAATTTTACTACAGATACAAGTTCGGCAATTACAAACAACAATAGGAAAATTGACATAAAAGATTTAAAAGATAACATAGTATATCATGAAAATATAGAGAGAATGCAAGCTGAAAAACACGAAGAAGAACCATGTAGCTCATACGAATTGGATAATAAGACAAAGATAAAAAAAGGTTTGTTAATTGGTAATATTTGCATTACAAAATATATCTACAAGTTGAAACACGGTGAAAATGGTAGAACTTATTGCGTGCATACAAATATAATTTACATGTAACCATAAAAATGCAATTCTTGATTTTTTCTTTAATTTTTTTAAATAATTGATTTTCTCATTTATTTCACGAATAATTTATCACGCGAGTATAGTAAAGTTTTCTTTGCAATTAAATAAGGAACAAGTAAATAATATTTTCAATGAAAAAATGGTAATTACACAAAAGAAACGGAAAACAAACAAACCAACCACTATTTTCTAGATATTTAATTTATAGCATTTGTCACAAAGTGTTTTTAGCAACGGTCCACACTATTCCACTAACCTTATCTAAAAACAAATAAAATGACAATTTATTACTAGCTATGTTTCAACTGCCAACGATCCTTACACTAATTTAAATCTGATATGACTTTAAATATTACAGATTTGGAAACAATTGACCTTGCAGCTAACGGAGAGAGTGAAGAGTTCAAAAACAATTTATGTACATCACAGAAAAAAAGTTTTGTAGGAGAACCGTCTACAAAACAAACAACAGTCGTAAAGCGAGGAAATTCACCAAATATTTCAAGTGAGTTTTTATAAAATCAGTTTATAATTATATATTTTTTTATTTAGCTTAAAGATCAGTTGTTATTTTTACTTATAATTTTATGAAAAAAAAATATATAAGGATAATAATAGAAAAATACAAATTTATATCACGCGAGTATAGTAGTTTTTTTTTTGCAATTAAACAAGGAATAAGCTAACATATTTCCAACCCTTAAAACAAATATTTCAGGGTAGTGGATTAATTTATAAAAATACCAATAGTTTTTTTCAGTCAACAAAAAAACATTAGTTCATTCTTTTTTACTGATGATTTTTGAAACGAACAGCAACCGTTAAAAATTAATACTATTTATACCTTAAAAAATTGTAATTAAAAAAAGCAAACATTTTTCTGAAATCTGATGCACGCAGCTGTCTAAAACCTTGAAAAGAGGGAATTATTTTTTCTTAAAATAAAACTAAAGAAAATATACTTACACAAGAGGAACTGAAAACTAACATACAAACAAACCACTACAGCTATATACCACTACTACACACTATATTCCTTGATTCATCTAAAAACAAATAAATCGAGAAATACAAATCTATGACTAGCCAAGTTTCAACTGCCAATGATCTTTAAAAAAATTATTTTTTATTTATTTTATAACAATATTTGTGCGAGAGTCTAAGTATTTCACTATTGATTTGTCAATAGATGTTGTTGAAAAATTGTCTTGGTTAATGAATGTTGTTAAACAAATTTTACAGATTTGATTTAAATTAATATTTTCAGAAAAACATGAATCTCATAAATATAATAGAAAAAAACGATCTCGGAGTAAGGACAGATCTAGAAGAAGTCCAAAACGGCATAAGAGAAATAGATCTCATTCACGTATTAGAAAAAGGTAAAATTAATTAATTATCTTTGTAAATATGTATTGATTATTTTTTTTAAATATCCGTTTTTGTCAAAGTTGGAGGAGTTTTTAACGTAAATGGTGGTCTTGTCAAGCTGGTGGGAAATGTTATTATGTGTTTAACTAAATACCTAACCTGGGTATTTCCAAAATTTGAGTGGAATCTTTTTATTTACACACTGGGTCATTTAATATATATATATATATATATATATATATATATATATATATATATATATATGATCGATGCGTCGGAAAAAGAAAACTACACCTGATTAAATTTAATTTTTCCTCTGAAAACACTTAAAAAAAAATCAAATCAATAACGTTTTTATACTTAGATTCCCTAATCTTGTCAATAATAATATATACCTACATGTTACAATGGAATGACTTCTTGATATCATCCTATTTCTCATTTTCTTTCGAGTTTTGTTATTTTCTTTCTTCCTTCGTCATCAGATTGTCCCGTCGTAAGTGAAATAAATTCGAATCGAGCTCAAAATATGTTTAATTCATTCAGATCAGTTGTTAAACTACTTGTCACGGACTTGGTCTCTCATCGATTCGAAATCTTCAAAAAATAAAATATCATGTGGAAAAAAACGAGTTGGGTTTGGGAAAAGAAAATATAGCATAAATATAAAATAAGAAAATGTCTGTCTGTGAACACTAATTGCATTTGAAATGATTTATAAGTAAAAATCGATTTTTTTTTTTTTGTTCGAAATTAAATTGAAAACTTAAAAACTGTGTGTCAAATTATGTGGACAATGTTTTTTCGCGTACAATACGTACATTAGTCATTTTATTTCATGTCTTCATGCACGATTGTGTTGATGCAAACCATTTTCCCTTTCCCTAATTCTTTTCTTTTTAAATCAGGACGGATTCCTCGGATCCTACAATTCCATCGACTGCCAGTTCCGAGATAAATAACAAAACAGAACGTCGTAACGAAATTAGCGGAGACCGTCAAGAAAAAATTTCACAGGCGTTGGCTTACATGACAGCAGTGAATGGTTTACCTCTCTCGTTTTTGGAAAGCAAAGGATTTGCAGCATTCATGTCTGTAGTGGAACCTGGCTACGGTGTTCCGGTAACATCAACTATTTTATCGCGACTACGCTTGCTGTACAATGGTTTACAGTCAAAAATAATAGACGAGTTGCGCGCTGTGCAATACGTGAGTTTGTCCACGGACGGTTGGTCTTCTCGCAGTCAAGACTCTTGCATATCGGCCACTGTTCATTTCATCACCGATCAATGGGAATTGAAAAAATATACATTGTGCGCTCGGTATACCGACGACCGTCGTACGCGCCATAATAGCCTTGCACTATTTTTGGAAACGGTGATAGCGGAGTGGCAATTAAAAAACAAAGTCCACGCCGTCGTTCATGACAACGTTGTTGCACCAATAAGGTGTATCGAGAACGTTGACAGTATCCGTTGTGCTGCACACGATCTACAACTGTCTGTTAAAGATGGACTTAAAATAATTCCATCTTACGCGGGTGTACTCAGAAAGGCCAGCGCCATTGTTGGTCATTTCGGTCATTCGACCGTTGCATCTGGGGCATTGCAAGAGAAGCAAAAACTACTCGGCCTGAAGGAGTGGAAATTAGTTCGGAGTTGTCCAACGCGATGGAATTCGGCGTATTTTATGTGTGAAAGGTTGTTGGCCAACAGAAGTGCTGTTCTGGCGGTGTTGGCTGATCGTAAAAGCACGACTCCGGCTACGGCAATTAAACTCGAAATGAGCGAAAGAAAGTGGACAAACATGGCAAACATGATTAAGTTGTTAAAGCCCTTGCAAGTTGCCACGACCGTGCTTTGTCAAGAAGACAATGTGACAATATCGATTTTGCGACCAATCATTCACGGCATTGTACACAAGCACATGCACGTACCAATAGTATATGATATGATGAACGACACGGTTGACAAAGACGCGGTTGATTGTGCAGATGAAATGAACGATGAAAATATTGTCGACTCCGGAGATGATTCAGATAGCGGGGGAGATATTCACGACGACGTTATAAGATTTAAGACACGCGTTAGAGAAAATTTAAAAAAAAGATTCGAAATGACAGCTAAGCAAAAACACGGTGACCTTCGTGCGGAGCAAATCGCCAGCTTTCTGGATCCGAGATATAAAAATTTGGAAATGGAAACGGTAGAGACGAAAAAATCCATTGAAAATCATGTGTCCGAAATGCTGGACAAATTGGATTCGTCTAAGGACAACCGCGTACACGGGAAAGTGACTGCAATGGATTTTCTTCTGGGCGCTCAATCGGAAGACATTGATTGCAATGAACTTAATATGTATAAACGCGAACCGCAGCTGAGCCATAATCTGTCAAATCCGTTAATCTGGTGGAAAAATAACCAAACGGAATATCCTCGACTAGCGTTATTAGCAAAGAAATATTTATGTATACCGGCAACATCTGCTTGGTCTGAACCTTCTTTTTCCACCTGCGGTTTGACAGTGTCGCCTACGATGAGTGGCTCGGATCCAGACAATGTGAATATGTTGACTTTTTTGAAAATGAATCAACAGCTGCTCGATGGAAACCCAACCAAGATATCGAGGATTTAAAACTGTCTAAACTTTTTATGCATCAATAATCATTGATTACTGTAAAATGTTATAAGAACTTTTTTTTTTCTGTATGTGTTCTTTGTGAAAACGTTGACGAATAGAAACTATTTAAATGCAATAATGTTTTTTATTATTTCTCCTTTACCTAAAGTATCATTACTTGTACACATTTAATATAATACTTAACTACATACATATATTTGTATACTTAAACAGTAAAATTATTACTGTAAACAACATAACAGCTGTTAGAAAAATAATAAAAATTTGCCGACGACCCCGGGAATGGACGTTGAATGCCTCATATATACATTTAACTGGAATAGTCTAGTAATGAAATAGAAAGATTGCACAACCGGTTAATACCACAAAAAGAAAAGTGTTTAAAGTTTATCTGAAAAAAAAAACGTTTCAAGGCATGTCGAAAAGTAACAGAACTAAAACACCTCAACACCTTTCCTATTTTGCCCAAGTGTCTGATAAATTATGATTTTGTCACAGATAGTTTGAAACAATATTTTAAAATCATAGGCAAATTGTTTTTTTTACTTTAGGCGTACTTGGGTAATAAAATTTGGCAATAGATAAATATTTTATATTATGTCTAACACACGTGTCTTTTTTAAAACATGCTCACTAAATACTTGGGCCGAGCAATGTTAATGAGCATGTCTAATCTTTTTCTGGTGGTATTTTTAGATTAAGTAGCTCTGAATCGAGTCACAAGAAAGATCACACTGATAATGACTCAAATGGAAACTCTTCATCGACACACTACGGTTCTAGAAATCACCAATGTCGATCTCGGTCACGAGATAAACATCTAGATAAGCGATCTCGATCAAAAGATCTCTCCACTAACTCAAAAAGACACAGATCTCCATCGTGGTAAATATTATTATATTTTTATATTGTATTCGGATATCAGATATACATATATATGCATATATTTTGTTTAAGCTGATATTTTTTTTTTATGATTTCAGTATCACTATTAATAGTGTTTTCGCTATTCGTTTGCTAGAACTATTTAAAACAAGTTCATTATATAAAAAAAATTATTGTTTTTTCAGTGAAAAAATCGACAAGAATAAACGATTTAAAGCTGCACAACAAATTCCCAATGAACTTCAACCACCTGAAGAGGCTACGGTAATTTTATTATTTCAATTTAGTAACCTCACACAATGTATAACAACTAATCATTAGCTTACTACTATGTTGAGTACTGTTAACTTATACATATATTTAGCTCAGATCTGCTTTAAATTATTTCTAGTTTAGTTTTTTGTCGCCAAATATGGATGAACATATTATGTTATTTCGTTGAAATGGTCTACATTTTTAATCAAAAATAAATTTGATGCAACGAGATGAACAGTGAAATCTTGTTTTTAACTTGAGACATAATAAAGTCACAGACTTCTAAATAAACACTAGTTGTCGTCCAATGTTCATTTTATTCCTGAGGCTTGCTGAACAGTAGGTTTATGTTTAATAGTTTCATAATTCATTTTGTATTCCATACATTTAATTACATCTTTACTATGCCTACTCAAAAACAGTATTAACTATTATAAACAGCTAGCCTACATTTTAATGATTCATTCTGAATAGTTTTTGACGTACCTTTATAAACTACCACATTTTCCAAATAAATTGAACTTAAATCATAGATAAGACATAAAAATATAGATGGAACGTGTCTATTCGAAAATACTATTTTTATGATTCCTGCAAATAATTATTACTTTTGATTATAGGTCAACTGTGCTCCTTCATTGCCCTTCTATAAAACCGGACGAATTAATGGGCTTAAAGCATCAAAATGTCATACCCCAACTCAATTAGCAATTAAAGTGTTTAAATAATGTTTCTCTATATTATTTCCTGCTTGTTTTAACTTTTGTACATTTACAAAAATATCACTCCGTCGGTAGATTTTATCTTCGATGCGAACTGAAAAGGTATTGTTTTTGCGTTGATGTGTTTTTATGAAAAACATAAAAGGTTATTAAAACTTTATAGGGCCGACAATTTTAAAAGTGCACCCTTCCCCTTCAAAATCGAGAAAAATGTACATATTTTTCAACTTAAAATTACACCAAAGGTAGATCTAGAACGGAAAAAGATGCATGATTTTTTTTATTTTTATGAAATTAGGAATTAGGAATGATTAATATTATAACCAAAATGCTAGACAAAAATTTCCTCTACTTAGGATACGGTCCAATCATGTAAAGAGATTCTAGTTCTTTGGTTATTTCTCTATGTTATGTAGGAAGCCGATTTGCGTTTAAAAATTGCAGTTTCTTGTAATAAAATAATATTAAATTTGCAATTTTTTCAATACTGAAAGCCAATGTTCTTTTACAGAACTAGCTTTTTATCTTTACGCAATCGAAATCGGACCATCTCAAGTAGTCAAAATTTTGTCTGGATTTTTGGTCTAAAACTTACTTACAAAAAAACCATGCAATCCGCTTTAAGTACAATGCGTTTTTATCGATATTAACAGCTGTATTTCCACCTTTTGTACAGAATCGCATCGAAGCGTTTTTTCAATTGAAAGCGATTTCGTCGACATTTTGTTTTTATCATCTAATACATCTATTTGTTTTTGATTATAGAATCAACTTGAAAACACTGGCCCCGTCGTTAACAGTGACGGAGTTATGCAATTGGTGCAGAGAAATAAAAGTATCGATTTCGAGTTTTTGTTTTTGTGTTAAAAAAACGTGTCTAATCCGAGTAAACTTTGTATTTATTAGGATTATTTGTTGAAGACAAAAACCGTACATCACAGAAATACGGCCGTAAAAAGATCCGAGATTCACATCCGGTGTCTTTACTGAAGCAAATTTGCGATCACAGTAAATGGGTACAGCCAAAGTATGATATTATAGGCGAGGTCTTAACTAGCTCTAAGCCTGCACGATTATACCGTATGGCCGTACGTTGAAAATAAAATTCATTTACTCGTTTCAATACTACAATTATCGAAAACACTTACAATTTTTATTCTTTTCAGGTAACTCTGAACGGTGTTAAATACAGTGCGATGGCTTATCAAAGGAAAAAAAAATTAGCGAAAATGGACGCGGCCCTGGTGTGTTTAAAAGGAATCGGTGCGCTTAAATGAAATATTGTAATATTTTTGTTTTATTATTACCGCGTTAGTACGGTTTAAGATTTTCCTAGTTTAGACCGTATACAGGGTGATCGTTTTATTGTAAACCACTTAATATATCATGTATACACTTTCAAGCTCTCGAAACTTCAAAACTAGTTATCCAAAACTGGTCATCGACCGGTCAACGTTTAAGTTGCAAAAGAAATTGTGAAAAATTCAGTTAACGTTTTATGAAAAATAATTCATTTCATTTCTCATTAAACCCCATGAGATATCGTGAGTGGTTCACGATAAAATGATCACCCTGTATAGTGATTTTATACCACAATTATATATTAAACTGGATTGCTAACTAAGTGATAAGAATAATTGAAGTCGGCCATTTGATGTGTGTAGAAAATAATTAATACCTATGTTTGTAGTTGTGTAGTTCTGCGCTGTTTACTTAACTTGTAACATACTTATTATAAACATTATGATAACAGTTATAAACATTATGATAACAGTTATAAACATTATGATAACAGTTATAAACATTATGATAATAGTTATAAACATGTGATAAGAATCTATCCTGCTCTTTAAATCTTATTAGTTAACTCATCAAAATAAATGGATCAGCAATGGCAATTTCTGCGGTTTGGTAAACGACACACAGTGGGCTGAATTGAAAATTATCCTTGTTTTACTTACTTATCAATATAACTACTATTCTAATTTTTTAAACACTATATTTATGATATTTTCTATCTCATGACTTTGCGGGTTTACAGTCCCATTGTTTCTCAGCATAGGAAAAAATATCTATACATTTAATTGCTTAGCTTCATCGTTGCTTAGAAGAAGTACCTGAAAGTAGTTTGATTTAATTATTTCAAAAAAAAATTATATCAGTAAAATACACAACTGAAATACACTACTAAAAAATAATTTTTAGTAGTGGTTATGAAATTAATAAATGATACTAATATTATGTTTGAGATGTAGTTTGAATAAGAAAAAATTGGTAAAATTTTCCTCCTCCTATTGAACGTGTGTTTCTCTCTAAAGATTTTTGGAATTTTTTCTTCGCCATCTTTATTTATTGGCCCCTGTATAAATTAGTTTTCTATTATATAAGTAATAGTATAATTCGTGTTTAGTGAATTTAACTTTGTATTTTTTATGTATTATTTCTGTAAATCATAATATCATGTTAAATTAATCTAAAATGGGCTTTGATTAAATAATAAATACTGATATATCTATAAAATGGAGAATCCTTAAGACGTGTAATTTTTTATTTTTTTTTCAATCCTAACTGCTATCAACCTATTAAACGTATACCATAAACTTTGAATTGTATAAAACATGAATGTATTTATACCAAATCACTTACAACACTGTTTGACTTGTTATTATTATTCAAATAGTTTTACAGTTTTTTTACTTTTTTTGAATAAACAGGCAAAGCAACGTTGTTACTGTTGAAAAAATAGCCAATTAACAATTTAATGTAATAATATATATTTTAATCACATTTAAAAATAAATTTGTACGTTTTGTCTGTTTGTTAACATGTTTTCTGCTGCACCAAAATTAATCCAAAACATGGAAGTCTATCTAATCTTTGTCAAAGGTTTAATCCAGGATTTTTATCACTCCTTTTTTAATTTTATTTAAATTTTGAATTTAAGGTGTTTTTATTTCTGTTGCATTTTTGACTTTGACCCTCATTCTACCTTAACTGAAAAGGTACTATTTTTCTTAATGAAACTTTTTGCAAAATTAAAATTATAATTAAAAAACTAAGTCCACAAATCCATAGATTAATTTTCCTAATGCAGCCCTTGAAAAAATGATAAGTGTAACGTCTTCTGAATATTAAATGGAAGTATGAGAAGAAAACTAAAGAAAATAAATATCCAATTATATTACAGGTATATCAAAAACAGACTAGCAAACAAGGTAGAACATATTTTTTAAGAATATCCACAATATCAAATAGGTTATGTATGACATTAGCAACTACTATATAATACATTGTAACTAACATTTTTTTTTTTTGAGAATAAAATGTTAATTTGTAAGAAAACAAAAGCCAGTACTCAGTTCATTGTAAAAGTGGTGTAACTCCAAGGTCTTATGATATATACGTGCATTTTTCCCTAACGAAGTCACATATTTAGTCATATCTTTAATAATTATAGTAAAAGAGAAGCAACTGAATGAGTAGTTCTTTTTTTACACATTATTTAACTAAACTAAAAACCTTCTTTTATCGTTTGAAGGCACAGCATTTGTTGTAAGCTCTGTAAGCTGCATTTCATCAACTGGAAGCAATCGATATGAGGACATATTCTGTATACAGTTATTTCGAACAATATACTATTTAATCAGTCAGAGACTAGTGTTAGATAATGTATAGTTAATATTGGCAGAGCCATATTCTCATTAGGCGAGACAGCACGTGCCTATGGCCCACACAATTAAATTGTATCCTAACACAATTATATTCAAGTTGTTGTTTTCCCGCTATTATCGAAAACCTGATTTGTACAATAATAAAAATATATTCTAATTGCAGATGACTAGTAGATGATGGAGTGGTTGAAGCAAGTGGAGAATGTTCCTAATTAGATTACTTAATAGTTGTATGTGTGTAAAAGTTATCAATATTATAAATACCAGTATTGAACGAGGCAAAAGGCTTGTTTCTTTGTGATTTTTTTTTTAAAAAACAAAATTGAGTTTAAATACCAAAATGTGGTAAGTACTTTTATGGGTCAGCTGCGAAGGTAAATTTTTTTGCTATTATTCTGATGTTCGTCAACAACCATATGAGCTGTGTAAATCAAGGGGACACAAATCCGTCTAACCTTGTAAGCAATTGGTCGACGCTTAAATTGGCCAACTCGGAATTTGCTCCCATGGCGCAATGTAATGTGTTATTTATTATGTTATCCAATCGTTATTATTATCAATTTAAATAAACCAGGACAGCGGAATACAGATGCACTGCAATCGTTCCAAAATTGAATATTAACAAAAATTGGCATAATAAATGCGTAAGACACTCATTTTCTCTGAGTTCATATGAATATTCTAAGCATTTTTTTTCCTAAACTTTTTAGTACATAGTTTACTACATTTTTCAATACATTGAAAATTTTTATCACCAATCCTCACAAGCCAAGAAGGGGGATTTTTGGTTTTTTTTAATGGCAACATATGTTTTTAATTGCATACATTTGTAGACGAAAAATTTAACAATATGTTAGCGTTTGAATTTTTTATTTTCATTTAACCGTCCATTAGCTATGACTTTTTCCGCATTTTCCAATTGGCGATAACATTCTGACAACTAGGAAATGACTAGAAAACGGTTTGGAAATAATGACAGACAAACGGTTCCTGTCTACAGATTACCTACCCTCTTTTTGGCCTATAAGGATTGATGATAACAATTTTCAAAATATTAAAAAATACAGTTAAATATGTACCAAAAAGTCAAGGAAAACAAAATTCTGAAAATATTCCTCCAAGGGTTACCCCTCAAAATTGAATATTAATAAATCACAGTGATCGCTGTTGGAAATAAAAACACATTTGTATTGGAATTTTTTTTTTTTTGGAAATTTGTAAATTATATTAGGTACTTAGTATATATTATATATATATGTTGTAGTAAGAAAACGACTAATAATAATTATTATTAATAATACATTAATCTATAATACACACGACGAATGGGTACGCGATTATTAGAGTTAAAATTGCGAAAGGTGTACTCGGTCGGTGAGTGCTTGTTTTAAACGCTAATAGTTGTATAATTATTATTATTACTATTATAATAAAATGCTAAAAATCTATTATTAATACAATAATACAACACACCAGAAAAAAAACCGTCTCGTAATGACAATAATAATAATAATTAATATAATAATTACTGTAAGAAAAAACGTTATTTATATAATATTCAAATATATAATAATAAGGAAAGATTTCATTTTTTTTTTTTTTTATATATATAGGTATAACGAAAACAATAATTAAAACATTTCTACTCTCTACACATAAATGCTATCTCATAAATAGGTAATAATATTTGTTTTATATATATATATATAATTGTACACTTATTATTATAATTATAGAAACTTGAGACTGCTATTATATTGTACTCGTTTGTCCGGAGACAACGTATAATATATTTTTATTACTACTATATTAAATTTAAAAACGCTATAATAATAATTATAATAAGATACCTAATGTAATAAAATGTATATATATAAATCTAATTATCCTTAAAATACGGTGTTTTGTCAATGTATGTTTAGGTACACCGAGAATGTAATAAATTTGTAATTATTTTAATTTAATTTTTTTTTTTGGTCGATTTATGATTACATGTATTTTCTATTTTAATAATTAACGTATTATTTAGATAGGTACTTTTAACGCACGTTCGCCAACGGATTGGACTTGTTAAATTACAATAATACACTAAACTACAGTAATAATTATTCAACACTATTAGTTATGATAAAATATGTTATCATTTTGCAGCATACGGGAGCGAAGTCGTTGTAATATAATATTAATATATTATGTTAGGAAAAAAAAAGAGGTGGTCTTATTATTCGATGTAGTAAAAAAAAGTCACTTTGGACATTTTGTCAGAACACATTTTTTTTTTTTTTTTTGCCTTATTCCGCTAAAATATAATAATAATAATATAACGTTAATTGTCTAAAGTAGTCAATAATGGGCGGGCAGGTACCGCGTACGATTAGAAAACCAATATAGTATTATTGTGTGTTCATTCTATTACAACACAGACAGAGCTCTGATCGACCAGGCACTAACAATGGTACTAACCGGGTACCAGGTATTAACAATGCTCACACACATATGTATATTTAATTATCAGAGCTAATTGGTCGTTTGCACTCCTTGTCTTGCCAGTGTACCTATAGTCGGGTTAAGTCGTGCTAACTATATTCGAGGTTATGCGCATAGTGAAAACAAATATAGATCCCGCGCGGATTCCGCCATCTTGATTTCTGTCATGGAAAAAACGGTGTAATATAGTTTATTCCATGATAAAAATCTGACAAAATAGTTCATTTTGTGCGTACCAATTTTTTTATTTTATTTTATTTTATCACCGGTCAAAAAAAAAGTCGATATCAACATTACGAAGTCAGAAACCATCGTCGAAAATCAAAACGGAATCAAAATGGCGGCATCCGGGGTGTATGCATGTCAGTTCTAAGGCGTACACGGTACGGGGGGGGGGGGTATCGCTCACACAATATATTAAAATAGTTTAATATAGAGGGTGTTATGTAAAGTTCTACCGAGCTTCAAATGAGACATTCATGATGCTCTATGGGTACAATAAATGGTATTCATTTTTTTTTTTAAATTTAAAAACTATTTAAAACGAAACTCGTATCTTATTCGCTAAAAATTGTTTAGCGAAAAAAATTATTTCTGACTTGAAATCGGGAGGAAAAATCGCGTTGAATTGATATGTAGTAACATGATTTTTTGGTATCTGGCCACACATACGTCCACAGGGTGGCCAAACAAATAACATGCGACACATCATTTAGTATAAAATAATTCTAAGGACACCAATGGATTGAGAATAAAATTCTAACCCAAAGTGATGTGTCACATGTCATATGTTGGTTTTGGTCACATGCCGGCCACTCATTGGCCACTCATTGGCCACTCGGCGGACGCAAGTGTGGCTAGATACCAAAAAAATCATGTTACATATCAATTCGATACGATTTTTTCTCCCGAATTCAAATCTGAAGTTATTTGTTTCGCACAACAATATTTTAATGATATACGAGTTCTATTTTAAATAATTTTTTATTAAATAAAAAAAATAAATACTATTTATTGTACCCATATAGAGCATCCAGATTGTCTCGTTTGAAGCTCGGTAGAACCGTGCATTACACCCTGTAGGTATGTTCGGAATATATAATAATATAATAATTATGTATAAAATGGAAACTTTATAGACTAAAAAAATGGAAGAATGGCAGAGGAATCGCGGCGTTTGGAAATATATTTTAGGCGGATTACATATTTTCGGGTGGGAAAAAAAGCGGATTTGACGCTTAAACGGGTGGCTGAAGCTTTCTGGTGGAGCCCGACGACTTGATCGAGGCACCGGTGGGGCCGCGCATGGGACTTACGGTGGCCGAAGATATCAACGGCGGTCCTCCGGCGCCGATGCGGTATCTCTTCAGCGAGTCGCGGCGGACCGTGTAGGATACCACGACCAGGGTAAGCACGAACAGGGTGGCAAGGCAGTTGATCACCAGGGGTTCCGCGGCGGCCGTGTGCAGTTTCTCGTTGACAATGCCGGCCAAGTTGAGGTTTCTGAAAACCGACAACGATTAAGTTCAAGCACATTCTAACGCGATTAATATAATATATACGTATACCGTCGCTGAAAATGCAACACCTCATATCTCATTTTTTTTTTTTTTTTGCCAAATTAAGTTGGCCACACTGCAAAGTTGAGCGAAACGAGAAATGCGGTGTTGCATATCGACCGACGGTATGTGACGTTCATTGTAAAAGTTAATCATCTCATCGTTAGTGAATTTTGAAATAACAAGCTTATTTTTAATTAATTTCCAGGTAAGTATTCGTTCAGTGTTTAAAGATATGACGAGATGCGACTCATTTACAGAGTTACACCACTTTTACAATGAACGACCAATGTATTTACAAAACATACACCTTGACTTATGCATAATGTGTTTAGGCGTGAATATGTACACAGCAGCCTAAACCGTATTAGAGGAGCAGGGGGAGGTTAGCATAAGATTAGTATATTTCTTTTTTACACTCAAAAGGATGCTTAAGCACCCCTCTACGATTTTCAGCCCCGTGAGAACCTCAAAACGACGATTGTTAGTAAATGTTTTGAATTTAAGTGGTTCTGCATTCATTTAAAAATACTAATAATAATAACCCTCTCTCCCTTTGATAAAAGACCAAATATTTTCATTGTAGAAACAGTTGTCGTATTAAGTTTCCATACATTACCTGACTCTCAATAATTTTCAAACCTAGATTTTAATCGTTATTTCCCTTCACCAACTTAATAATATTTTTAATAATTAAAATTTTTTTTGTCGAGTTAAGGGTTGAAAAAAAAATAACTGTAAAACAAAACTGGTCGTTACTTGTTTAAATTATTATTATTTGCTTTAGTAAACAATGAAGTGGAGGATGGTAACGTACAATATATTTTATACTAGTTTGTCACATCTCGACTACAAAAAGAATTTGTAATTCATATTTTTCGGCTGTAATCATATTCATATTATCATATTATCTATTTTATTTTGATAAATCCTTAATTAGTCAGAGCTTTTGGGTATTATTAAAACGGTTACTTCTTATGATTTACCACCAGAGATCAATAAATATTTAACAGTCATTTAGTCAGTACACATTAAGGAGTAGTCGACATGACGAACTAATATTGTAACAAATCTAAGATGAATAAAATTATTTTACAAACTGCAAGCAATTTTACCAACTGTACACCAAAAAAAAAAAAAAAACCTCCCGGTTAGTTTTATGTTTTTTTTTTTTTTTGTTAGTTCCAAATCCTCCAACTGCAACCGTATATGCAATAATAATAATGATTGTTAATTGCCAACACCAATCAACCACCGCATAATATTAGACATATAGCTGTATATAATATTATTTGTAACGCTCACGTAATATAATAATAGTCGATCGGAAACGAAGGGGTTTAGCATGTGAATTGTTGTTTAGGAACGGAAACAAATATAATAACACTGGTAATGATGATATCGTATAAGGAAAAATATATAAATGCTGGGAAAGCAAAAGAGATCTGTATATATTATGGTCGAGTAGGTGTGTGTGTGTATACAATAGTATTATGTGATGGTAGTAGGATAAAAAAAATGGTAGGCGACAAGGACCGACTACTACACTCCGTTGGACGAGGAGACCAGTTGAAACGTGTGGCCGTTGAATTGTCTTCTGCTGTGCTTACTGGCCGACGATTTCAACATTACAAGGGCATACATGACCGACATGAGCGTCAAGACCAGTATCACGGCTAACGCGTTGATAACGGTCTGTTCCGCCGCGGATCTCTGCCGTTCGCTATAATATATATATTATTCACGTGGTCGGGTAAAGTTCAAATTGTTTTGTTTCGAGTAAAATCATTAATTAACGACGGTAAAAATAAATAAGGTATGATGATAATGAACCGCTGTTGCGGCCGTCGTAACACGTACCCGTTGTTGGACGTGTAGACCACGGTGTCGGCGCGTTGCTGCAATCCGGTCAAACAAGTGCCTATGGCCAGGGTGAACGTGCAAAGGCCCAGGGTGGCGTGGACGGGTGCGAAGCACCGCAAACGGCAACGGGCAGTGGCGGCCCGGCAGCACAACAACACGACGAATGTGAACAAGCCCAAGATCAGCTAAAAAACAGTACAACGCAAGTATTCTTTTAGCCAACACCAACGACAAAGGCAGGTACAACACCTGGGTGGTCACAAGTCTGTACGTCTTCTACACTGTCTTGGCCTTACACGGCCAACTGCATAATATGGTGTCGACCATCCTAGTCCACACATCTCGACCTATTCCCTCTCATTTTCCCCGTTCAATTGATGCATCTCCTAGACACGTCCTCTCATGTATTCATTTCTTATTCTATCCTCCCTAGTCACTCCACTCGTCCATCCTGGCATTCTCATCTCCGCTACACTCATTCTCTGTCCCCTCTACTTCATCCATCAACAAGTTATCCTGTTTCTCACTTTCATTTTCATATCCACAATTTGTTTGAACTACCGATGCTAAGTACTTGAACCTATCAACCTCACCCATCTGCATTATCTGTCTTGCACTTGAACTTTCTCAAAAATCCAACACGATTGTCTCCGTTTTACTTCTACTCATCCTCAGTCTATTCCCTTCAAGCACTTCTCTACACTCTTCAAGTCTCTCGTCCAATTATCTCGTCCATTACTAAAGAGAACAAGTAGGGGCTCAATTAAGGTCACGGGTCTATACGGTTTAATAAAACTGAAAGTGATAAAATGACAATTTCAAATAAATGCTTCGTTGCGAATCTGTAATGGCAGAAACACAAAACATATAGATAAAACCATGGTTGTACCTAATGACAACAATGTGCTTAAAATATATTTCTAGTATTAGTGTGGATACGATTGTCTGGCTACACAACAATTTGTTGCTGAAACGGAAATGTTTGATGGATATGTGGAGTGAATAGATTAGACAAAATAAAGAATGCCATTTCAAGAGGAAGTTTTGGGGTTAAGCCAACATCAGGAAAAATGAGAAAACAGATAAAGGGTAAATGTAGACCAGAGAAAAATAAGGTGGGCGGATGTGATCAACGGAGATGGGTGGAGTGAATAAAGACATTTTGATGGATAGAGTGTATTTGACTGGCAGACCCCACCATTTGTTCAAGCCAAGTGGAAGAAGAAATATTAAACATACACTGTCAGTGGCAATGTGAAAATGAGAGTTATGGAATAAACCCGCTCGATTATTCAACTTTTTGTTGATAATTTTCCGACAGCAATTCCTTTTTATGACATTTGTAAACATGTTTAATTCCTGGGTCAACAACAACAAAGCTATGAGGGGTATGAGTAATTTCGTTATTAGATACCGGATTTTTATGTTTTGTAAAAAATATTGGAAAACAACTTTTAGAAAAACAGTCTAAATAGTGGCAAATTCATTCGAGGTATTCTTTAAATATTGTATTACTGAACTGCAGTTAAAAAAAACCTGGGATTGCCATTAACTGTTTTCCTTCAATTTTTTTAACCAAAGGGATAAGATCTGATTAAAAAAAAACTTAGTTATTTTCTCCGCTCCACGCTAAAACATTGAATTATGGAAATGTTATCTCTTATCACTTATCTCTTGTCTCTTATCTCTTATCTCTTATCACTTCTCTCTTATCACTTGTCTCTTATCGCGTGACTGTAAAAGTGTAACGCGAAAACAACGACATCAAATTTCTTGTATCCAGTCGGACAACATGATAAAATGTATGGCATTTTTTTTTTCAAAGATCTTTTGAGCTTTTGCAACCGATTTCTCTTGTCTTCTTACCTGCACTAAGAACAGAGAGTAAGTGAAAGTGCCCATCCAGCTGTGCACCGTGTACAAATGTGGCAGACGGGTAGAAGTGTGGTACTGGGCGGCCGCGAGGGCGCCTATGCACACGCACGGTATGCCGACCAGACTGTGCAGCAAAGAGTGTGTCAGCTTGAGATAAGACGTTTTGCATCCGGGTCCAGTGCACTTAGACGCCAATCGGTAAACGAGAATAGCTGGAATAGAAAATACAAATCAAATTCAATAAATCAACAAAACGTTTTGGATTACACGTTTTACCAGCCCTGTGAATAGGGCTGGTTGTTAGGTCGACTATATACAATACGTAAGGAAGGGGGTTTTTTTTTTCGACACCAATATGATGTCTTATGGCTTCCCCAGCCAGCCGGTTCCGTGGTTACACAAAGGGGGGGGGGGCAGGGGATAGCGTGACAAGGGGGAATCGATCATTCCTGTAAAGGTAAATGTTATCAGATAATTAAAATAAGCGACAGAGAATCATCCGAAGACACAGGACACGTTTACCGTGGTAAAGATGGAAGAATTTTTCCGTCAACGAGTCACATTAAAGCCACCGACCTCCCTTAAAAAAAAAAAAAGAAAAAAAACTGCCCTCTAGGAGAGGTGCACGGCGGGGAGGCGTTTATTTGTTTATCACGTGTGAGTCATCCGTCATAATAATATACACCAACTATTATGGATTGTCGCATTTAACGAGGTAGTACATCATGACAGGTACGCGGTTTAATAATATCACCCCTTTGAGTGAGGTATACCACGCGACGTCATCGCCCTTTCCCACCACGAGGGACGTTCACAAGGGTGCGTGGGTGTATAGTGTGTATACTTTGCAGTTGTAAAATAGTCGGTAATTCTAGAGTAGAGAAAAAAACAAATCTATTATTTATTACAAGCGATTATGTCGCACGAACAACGACGTCGTTATGTCTTAATACTTGTAAAGCGATACATCAATAAAAACCCATATACACTTTGTGTGTCCTTCGAGGACTTACCCGTTGCATTGTATATTTAGTTAATACCTACTGCTGGGTGCTACTCTGGAGAAGTTTTCAAATATAAAAATTATATATTATACATAAATTTTTAAATATAACTATACACACTAAACGCAGGTGCGTACAGTTTTAATTATTCAGTGTAGTCGTTTTGGATGTCTATGAAAATACACAAATTGTACATTTCAATGTATTTATAACACAAAAAAGAAGGTACAAGTTATTTGTAATTGTTTGCAATAACTCAAACTCATCAAAAACCATATTAGGTACATAGGGCACATTAAATTGTATTCTGTAATCAAATTACAGATATTATAAAGAAATGTAACAAGTTAAACAAGTATAATAAATAAAAATCGACACTTAATAAAAGTGGCTAGTCCTACCAAAGTATTATTTTAATGCAAATGTTATTAACCGAAATAAAAATAGGTAACGTTAGTACAATAAACTGAATTCGAAAATCTAGGTGTTGCAATGGGACACCCCGTAGATAATCAGTGCTTAACGGATTTTATTACATTAATGCTAGCCGGTGTACCTAGTAATTAATACTCTTTGTTAGTGTATTGCTATATATGCGCGGTAGAGATTTTTGTGGCTCACCTACACCAAACGTTGTATTGTTTTTTTTTTTATTGTTAAATTATGCACTCTGTTTAAGTCGGAACAGTGTTTTTTATTGTCAAAACTCTTACGTTGGTAATTGTTATTATAGTATACAGCGTGTATCACAATTGACTGTCAGGTTTAAGAAGTTGTGATTTGTTATTGGGAAAAAAAACATAGCATAAAAAATGAATAATTACATGTTGAAAATATTGTATGTCAAATCTAAATAATAGTATACCATCATTTGACAGCGTTATGCAAATTGAGCGATTTCAAATAATAATTGTTCTCAATTAGCTCAAAGTTATTTACTGAATTAACCCACACAATATTATATTGCTGGGACTTGACATTTGCCGTTTGTGTCAGTCAGAACTATGATTGGCGTTTCTAACGCTTTGGTGTTTTAGGTCATTCAATACAGTTGAAATTTTGGAAAATAAATTGAGGATGTGCCAGGGGCGTAATTTCCTTGAAAAAAATAGGGTTGCACGATTAAGCACTGTAAATATTGAAAAATCCCATCTCATCACTACTTTTGGTATATGAAACACAAACAGATTAGATTAGGTTCAAGTTTGTTTTGGATAAGATAGGTAAGACTAGGTTTGGTTTAGATTAGACTTAGGTTAGAGCATTACCATGAACACATAATTGAAGTGAGTGGGTATGGTTTTTCTTGTTAATTAAAATGTCTTCCCATACAGGTACTATAAGACGGATTCATGATGCACTAACGAGGGTTAGTAGAAAAAATGTCTCTTTAGCTATTTTTAGTTTTGTTATTTTATTGTGATGCCCATGGTAACCGTGGTATGTATGGTAACCGTGGTATGTGTGATAACCGTGGTACGTTTGAGAGAATAGTTCAAGCATGTTTGGACAACAATGGCGGCATATTCGAACATCCCGAATAAAACAATCTCAAAATGTATCTTTATCTTTGTTTTTGTCTTTGTCTTTAACATTATCATTAGCATTACCATTACATTGTCCGTTATCTTAATCGTTAACGTTACCACGTTTTCTATGTATCACAAAGACAAAAAACATATGGTTACCACACATACCATGGTTACCATGGATATCTATATATCTATAGGTACTCACAGAATCCGGTGATGGTGACGAATCCGGCCGTCATCATGGTGGGGTGCAAGTTGAAACGTCTTTCGGCCAGGCTGATCTTCTGGGACGCGTTCTGAGAGACGGGCGGCTGGGCCGTGGTGGTCGTGGTGAAAAAGGACTGATCGGCAGGCTGTTGAGACCCGTTTTGCAGCTGATAGGTGAACACGCCCACGTGTAGGATCTCCTTGAAGCTCGGCGGTGGCCACGGGAACCACGACGAACCGCCGGCGGCCGCGGCCGGCGTGGTGTCGTATCCGCCGCGGAACGCCACTGTCCAGTAAACGGTGCCGGCCGTGCAAGCGATCAACAGCACGGCGCAGAGCACGGTGAGCAGCACGTATTCCGTGGTGGCCGGACATCCGGTGGCCCCGGAGGAGTACCTCTGCGCAGCGGCCGAGTTGCCGTCCTCTCCGGTTGTTCCATCAGCCCCGGCCGTCGAGTACTTAGACCTGTATACGCCATAGAGTAAACCATATATCATTGGGTAAATATAGAGTAAAATATAGGGGAAAAAAGCCAGTACAGTGGGGGGGGGGGGGGTTGGGGCATAGTGGGGACGGAGATGTCACGGGTCTACAGGTTTACCAGTTATAGCGGTTTAGAAGATATCGCGGGACCAGCAGTGATGTACTTAAAATTTAACATTTAGTCTTGTGCGGGGTGGATACGTGATAAGGGTTGGTCTATAAAAAGATACTGTCATAGTTACCCCCCATACATCGTAGTTAACAATATAATGAAAATCATTCACACATAGCAACCTAGAAACAACCGACTACGGCCAAAGTGTAAATTTACACTATTTTTGGTGTTTTTCTTTAATAAAAAAAAATTTTTGACTACAGATTTTTGAGAAAATTGTACATGTTATAGTTCCATTTTAGATATCTACCTTCGGTGTAATTTTCAGATCTAAATCTCTAAAACTTTGCTTGAAAAAGTGAAATAAAGAAAAAAATTCTATCCCTTCTAGGGGAAAGGGCTTAGGATAGTTTTTAGGTTTGTTAATGTTTATCGACAGTACTATGTTTGAAGAACAATCCATATAAATTTGGAACTTTTTCGACTATTTTTAAAAAAGTTATAGAGCATCGTAATTTTAAGTTGAAAAATTTGTACGTTTTTTGGGTGTTTTTCTCGATTTTGATGGGGAAGGGGTGTCTTTTTTAAATTTTGGCCTACTAAAGAACCTTCCAGGTATGATTTCTCATATATAATGTTGCTACATGAAGAAATCGGTTTAGCGGCTTACGAAATATCGTGGGTCCAGACACAAAAATAAAAACACATCATTGTAAAAACAATACCTTCTCAGCTCCGCACCGAAGCTAAAAGATGAACTAATGTGCAGTATGGGCAAATTAAAGCGCCGAAAATATTGTAAGACCACACAAAAGAAAAATAATAAATCTTCATTGTTGAGCGGTTAGTACTCTATATATTATGATAAAATATGTTTTTATTATTTATCTTAACGTATTATTGTTTTTTTTTTTTTTAAAAGACACTTATTTCTTTACTTTTAACTACTATAATAGTGGACTAGGAGTGATAAAACAAGGAATGTACATAAAAGATAAAATTTGAAACATTTGTATTTTTGTAATGCCCGGGTCAATAATAATAAAGCTATACTCGGTTAAATTATTTTCATTATTAAAGACCGGATATGTATGCTTTAAACATAGGTTAAAAAAATGTTGAATATCTTAAACAAATTATACAATGATACCCATGTATTGATCAGCCCTTAAATTAATGTCACAGCTGGAAAGTCAATGATTTGCCGAGATAATCTTTTTTTTATTAAACGCTTATTAAAATTATTTTCAAATTATATAGCAAAAATACGTTGTTAGTTTAACTCATTTTTTTTAATACTTAAATTGTACTATTTAATTATTTAGCAAACATGTTTGTTAAACGAATAGAAATTTCTCATTTCGTTTGAATAACATTTTAAAACAACGTTTACCACGTCGATGTCGTTATGTAGACTTTGTTGATTTTTAATTTTTGGAGAATTATTTCAAATATATCTTTTATTATTTCATTCAAAATCAAATCTACCTGTATGTATTATTATCTTGTATTGTTCAAATATCTATCATCTCACTGTTAGCTTTTTTTTTTCCTATTCACAACAAGTTATCAACATTTTGAATTGATTTCAATTACCGTTCTTACTTGATGTTTTAATCATCAAAAAAGATAATTAGATATTATTTATTTCCCCCCTTTTTTTTTTTCTTTTTTTTTGTTTCATTGATATTGTCACTTTCAAGTGCCGTTCTGCAAAGTGCGCCGATTATATTCGGATGAAATAACCGAGTTCCAGTTAAATACTCGTCCACCTTCGCGAAACGACAACACTCCAATGGGTTTATCGTTGAAATACCTAATTATCGGTTTTGTTTGAGTATCAACCGAGGGTGTTTAATTCGTGACGATATTGCCAGTTCCGCCTGAACGGGCCAAAGGGGACTTGAGTGTGTCAAAAGCACTCTTAGGCTGTTGCCGGCGGATTGATCTCGAGTGTGCGGGGAACGCACGGGGGCGGACGGAAGGCGACCACCGCGCGGTAACCGCCGTGAAACGCGCGACAACCGGGCCGAATGAGATGCTGTTCACGCTTGGTCACACACGGAGAACGCGGGCTAAACGCGCCGGTAAACGCCGCTGTAACAACACAATAATTGGCTAATAACGCGACGTTATGGTACGCGGCTTTTCCGCCGTTGGCCGTTAGTCGGTTTGGCTCAAAAGTAGTAATTTACCGAATTTATCCACACAATATTACATTGCTGGGACTTGACATTTATTTGCCGTTTGTGTCAGTCAGAACACAGTTATGATTGGCGTTTCTAACGCTTTGGCGCTTCAAAAAAATTGGGGGCGTGCATGATTGAAAAACGCTGTAAATATCCTGAAAAATCCCATCTCATCACTACTTTTGGTATATGAAACACAAACGGATTACATTAGGTTCGGGTTTGTTTTGGATGAGACGGGTAAGGCTAGGTTTGGTTTAGGTTAGAGCTAACTTTGTGACATCGAGCGACGAGTGGTGCAGAAAATAAGAGCTGGTAGGAACATAGAAGATAGAAGTGAGGAGTGAACAAGGCAGGTAAGAAGAGGAGAAAGGGAACATCAGAGGGAAGGAAAAAATAGAAGAGGTGTGGAGAAGAGAGGACAGATGAGAAAAATTACCATGAACACATAAGTTGAAGTGAGTGGGTATGGTTTTCCTTGTTAATTAAAATTACTTCCAATACAGGTACCTCAGGTACAAAAATAAACCAAGTTAAAATATATAATACCCTAATGACCGTATCCGAATTTATCCCACACAGTATTGTACTGCCGGCACTTGCCTAGGTTGGTAAGTAAACGAACATTGGGTCCCCAATATTGATCAACAGCTGGGTATCAACATATTGTACTAACTGATTCGTTATGATTCGGTTATACTAATTATTAAAAAATGATAAACGGTTAAAACAAAACACTAAACCGTTAGCAAAAAGTTGTAATTTGTTATTAGAAGAAAAAAATAACAACATGTTGAACATATCAATGTATGTCAATTGGAAATAATAATTTGAGCGATTCCAACTAATATCTAATATTGTTCTCGGTTAACTCAAAGTAATTTACAGAATTATCCACACAATATTATATTGCTGGAACTTGACGCGTAGGGAAAAAACACCTACTAAAAGTGCAAGTTTTAAAAATTGAGAACTAATAGATGAAATAATTCCTCGATTTTTGCTTTATTCTAAAACAGTAGGTAATTATTAACGCTTTGTTATTTTCTCGCTAAATCCCAATAAAACGCGATATCCAACAAAATTTGTATTGTTGCAATTTTGGCAAAGACTGAATAAACTGGGAATCCTTAAGCACTGTAATTATTTAACCCATCTCCTCACCACTTTTGGTATGAATCTCAAACAATTTTTTATATGAATGGTTCAGGTTAGATTTGGATAAGACAGGTAAGGTGGCGACGGTTATAAGGAGAAAATAGGTATGTAATGAAATGGGAAAGTCAGAGCATGCGAACAGATTGCTAAAAAAAAAAAAAACAAGTCCATAGGTACTCGTTTTGCGCGTAAGGGATTGTGGTAAACACATTTTTTTTCCCCAAAGTATTGAATAATACAGCAGTAAGCCGTGTGACTAGCTACCCCTATAGTGTAGGGGAAAGTTTTTCCAGTAAATCAGATGTCTTACATCAGCCTGTATTGAGGGCAACAAGAGGCGCGGCCGCCGAGTCTGTGCGGCCGGTACAGCGCGGTAGGTACAGCGTGGCACGCGCGCGCGCTTTAACAACAGTTTCCGCCCTCTTTACACAATCCGCCCCAGTCCGTATGTATTATAAGCGGCAAAATACCACATTGTCTTTGTGCGAATAATTCATGTCTTGTGTGTGTGTGTAAAATATTTTAGCTATAGAAATCTATAGAAATCTTCTTACCTGAGAGTTGCACTTTATTTGACCAACAATTTATATATATATTTTGAAATATAGCGCACAAATGTGGGCATAATATGGTGTACACAAAGCATAATTTATCATTTATCAAATTAATTAAATCGATAAAAAAAATTAAAATGTATATACCTACAGAAAAATTACACAGGGAGATATAAAGGTATAAGCTAGTGCATTTCGATTCGGTTTAAGCTAATCATCGACTAGTATTGAAAATTATTTTCATTTCGCCTGTTAATCGCCCCATACAAGGGTAACAGCTATGGCAATAGATTTATAATAATATTATAGGCGATCCACCCTAATCGTATCCCCATCCCAATATCAAGCACATTGTTGCCTTTAGACACGGGTGCACAATGCTCTTATCTAATGTTCGCGTTTCTGGCAAGTTTGATTTTATCACTGAAATAATTCACACTCCAATACGTTGGTGGGAATTTGGGGGTGGTGGTCTTAGGATTCTAAAAACCTAAAATCAGCGCTAATTTTGAAATTTTTAAGTTTTTTAGTATCACAAGCACCGTCTCCCCCACCCCATTTCCGCCAATGTCTCGACGCGGAGGCTTTTTTTTTTAATTACAATTATTATTTAAATATATATATATATATATATATACAGGTTATAACGTCCTTCGGTTTTCTCAGTTTCCTCTGGATATAATATACAAGAAAAAAACAATATATATATATATATATATGTTATAGCTATATATATATATATACCCGAACACTACGCGCTGACACAAAAAGACTTTCACGAAGATTTCCTTATTGTATTTTTTTTTTTTTTTTTGGGTGGTTTTTTTTATACACACTTCACTTGAATAATAACATACAATATAACATCCTATCGTTTCGCATCCTCCCCTCTTCCTCTGCCCTCCCCTCCCCCACCCCACCCCTCTCGAATCGGTCGACACCATGACCGCCGGTAGCTTCTTCTTCTTCTTCTTCTTCTTACGGATTGTGCGTTGTTGTTGTTGTAGGAGGTTTTTTTTTTTTTTTTTGTGTATTTCCCTCACTTTTTGGTTATGCATGCTCGATTATCGAGACCGCGACTGTGTGGCTGTCGCGGTGGAGAGAAATCGTGAAGAGTATTTAAAAAATAATAGATAATAGGTAATAGTAATAATAATGAAAAAAAAAAAAGGACAAAATCAAACATACAAAACAAAAACCGCCGTTTTTTTTCCCCCCTCGAGGATTTCCTGTCGCCTGAGCGCGCGCGACCGACACCGTCGTCGACGGGTTAACGAACTCCTTCGATTTGCCTACATATATCTCTGTCGAATTTACCTATATATAGGTATATTATATATTTTATATTTATATTATAATATAATATAATATATTGTACGGCCACTATAGTACAGTATAGTCCTATACGTGGTGGACGTGGTGTGTCAAAAAAAAAAAAAAAATGCCTATACCTTGGAAAATATTCGGGTTGGGTCGTTGTTTAACGAATGATAGTAATTATTATTACACTGCGCTATTGTATCAATAAAAAGCGTCTCGTTTTTTATTCATCGTCGTCGTCGCCGTCGTCATAATAAAATATTATTATTTATTAGGCACGAGGAGGTGTTGTTGTTGTTTGCGAACATAATAACCTAAGTGCCGTTTGTGTATAACCGAGTAAAAGTATACACTATATAGGTGTAACACACTTTGATTGATTATGATGTGCTCAGCCCCGAAAAGTGTTTGTATAGACGCGCGCCTACAGGTAAAAAGCGTTAAAAAGGTTAAAGGCCTCCTTTTTTTTACCAAGTACACGAATCGACGGTTGTTTTTCGCATACACACAACCGCTGTATAATATGCGAATTCGACGACAGTTAAACGCCCTTTGAATACCAAATAATTATAACAATAGTTCATCGACACCGATACCGCCGCCGCCATAATAATAATAATAACAAAAAATAGGTAATTTATTAATATTATAATCTCTATCGGTTTTTAATTTGCACTTATCTCGTTGAAAAAAACAGATTGTTTTGTTTTTTAACCCCTTTTTTAAAAGCGTTTCTACCTTTCAAACGTGGTCGGCTAGTATTATACATTATGTCACCCTTATAATATTTTATTTTTACCTACAAAGATGGCCCGTATTTTCGATTATTCAACGGCAACGCCTGAGTAAAATATTAGAATAATATATCATTTTTTTTGGATTGCACATTCATTAATTCGACTGGTAAAAGTGTGTATACCCTTAGTGCGTTCGAACAAAAAAAACCTTTAGAATTTTTATTGTTGGCTTACATTGAATAGAATCTGGGCCAGTGGGGTTAATATTGTGGAAAAAAAACAAACAAACAAAATAGGACAAATGTAAAAAGCATGCAAATGGTAGCAAGTATCTGGTGCACCTATTGTGAAAACTTTGTGTTAAGTATTAAACCATTGGGAACAATCGCCTTTAATCAATTTATGAGATTGAACTATTCTAACAACTCAAAAGTGATCACACACAAGAATGACAAGCACCTTAAGAGATAAATATTTAAAAGTGAGTTTGTATATACATATTGTATATTATGTGTATACTATTTTTTTTTTTTTTTTTTAAGAGGTCTTCGAGCAATTTTTCAATAAAAACTTAACGCTCCCGGCCAATTTAACAAATTTCAAAGGTGGTACTTATGGTGTATATTTTATCATATTAATTAACACCGTTTTGTTATCGTTAAGTATATTATTGAAACGACCTCGACGCAATATACTGCTGCTGCTGCTGCAGTCGGAAGTCTCATGATACCGTGTGCACTATATATATATGTATATAAATATTAATAAAAATATATATTATGATGGGACACGTCGACCTACGTATACCCTATACATATATATATGTATACAATAAATATAATGCAATTGACATCAATTAGTGTGCACACACACACACACACACAAGGCACCCGGTTACCTCCGGATCGACACTATACACAGAGTTTCCCACGAGTATTATATGATATTATGTACCCTACTGTACTCTCCTATCACCTCTGGTGTGTACCGGTAAATAAATATATACATATACAGATTTATAAATGTGTACACGCAAGTACCACAGCTCGGTGGAAAACGCCAAAACTATATGGGGGGGGCTGTTCCCCCCGAATTAAAACGCCAATATATAATGCACTCACTTGTAATGACCCGTTCCGGAACTGCTCGACTTGGATTTGGCCATGACAATAATAACAATATGAACGGCGAAAACAGAGAGAGAGAGAGAGAGAGCTGTCCTTTGCGGGGGGAGGGTTACTTTTTGGAACGAAGACTTGTTCTCTTATTGTGGTGGACTTAACATGGCATACGGTCGTCACTGTCGGTGACACTGTCTCGAGAGGAGGATCCGTACGCGATTAATGGCGTTTTTTTTTTTTTTACTGCCAAAGACACGGAAAAAAAACAACACACACACAGCGCCTATACCTCGTATACCGGCTATTGTTATTGTGTATTTAAATTATCAATCAGAAACGAGACACGAGACACTAGCACGGACAGACACACAGAGACACTAGCCGGTGGTGGTGGTCGGGTCTACCAGTCGACTACTGCCAGCAGCAGATCAACCGCATCGCATCGCAGTTGCTGTTTAGCTAATAAGTGTAACAAACATCCGCCTCTCCGTTCCACCTCTCTCTCACGGCACGGCGATTTCATATATACGGTTAGGTTTTTTTTTTTTTTTTGTTTTTTTGTTCCTATACAGTCGCAGTTGCACAACCCGCGAACCCACCACTATTGGCCCGGGTACTGTCGAATAATAATAATAGAGCACAATAGTCAATGCAAACGCGAAGCAAAAGCGTAAAAAAATCAGCCAAAAACTAGCGCCCCCCCCCCCGGCGCGGAGGGTGTGCAACGTCCCAAAACGGCGCCCCGTCGACGGTTTCCCAAAAACATATATACATTCCCCAAAAAGAAGGGTGGTGGTGTAATATTATATTTTTTACCCTTTGTTTTTTTTGGACGGTTCGACCAGTACGCTATATAAACGACTTTGTAGAACACCGTGCTCTTCCCTCCTCCCACCTCGGGCAAATGGCGCCACTTTTATTCCAACGATGATGTCTCCATTCAATCGAAAACGGTATTAGTAGTAGCAGCAGTAATACCGTGATAATAATAAGACAAATATTTTACAACGTTTTGGTCGGATCACGAAAAAATTGAAAAAATATTATGTTTTCAGTTTAACACATTGTTTTTTATTGTCATCGTTAATAATTATTCTGGAGGCTAGACAATACACACACCAGCAATACATACATAGTCATATAGTGTAACTTGAGGGACGTTTTTCAGCTCTCCCCCCCCCCTTTGTACCCGCCCCTGGTCGTTATTGTTTATAAACGCTAGATATACCCATGAGTTTTGCTGGGGTGTTGTTTTCCATACAACAGTGTCCTAACGTTTAATTATTGAGTTTTAGGGCGAAAAAATCGCCTATATATTATTTTCGGGTCTTAAAAGGTTACTTTTGATTGCCAACCGAAATTGTGTGATCAACACACCGTTATTGTATTTCCATCGATATAATATTTTATGCTTAGAATTTAATTTTCGTCATCTTTGTCGGTGAACAAAAACGCGATTTTAAACGTTAAAATTTGGGTTTTGTGAAAAAAAAAAGAACATTGACATTGTCTCCGAAATAATCCAAAACTCACTTGTCTTTCTTGGGCTCGTCTTTCTTGGCTTTGTCCTTCTTCTTGTCCTTTTCCTTCTTGCCGTCCGCCGCAGGCTGTTCCGCCTGTCCGCCGCCTTTGGCCGACTCCGGTGCCGCCGCGGCGGCCGCCGTCGCTCCGCCGGACATGCTGACCACCGGCACGTTGCGGTCGTCGGCCGGCTGCGGCGGCTGCTGCTGCGGCTGCTGATGCTGTTGCGGCTGCTGATGGCGCGGCGGCGGCGGCGTGCCGTCGTCCCTGTCCACCAGCGGTATGATGACGCTGTCCCGGCCGATGTCCCGGACGTATTCGGCGGCGCCGCCGTCGTCCATGGTGGCCGCCTTGGTGGCGTTCGTCTTGTGCACCGGCGACACGGGAGACACGGTAGAGCCTGTGCCCGTGGTGGTGTCGTCTATTCCGCCGGGCGTACGCAAATCGTCGTCGGGTTGCGCTAGCGGTGCCTCGCCGTGGAACGACGGGGGCGGCGGCGGCGTAGACATCATCATAGACGACGGCGGTCGGCTGCCGTCGTCGTCATCAATCATCATCGCGTTCGAATCCATTTGGGTTCAACAAAACAAAACAAAACGATTACCCGCGATATTATACGCTAGTAGGTATACAAAGCGAAACGGTGTAGGCAGTGAAAGTAAGTAACTTTAACAACAATGCGAATGAAAACGAAAACGTAAGTAGTGTTTGTGTAGACTTGAGCGCTTTTTGAGCAAAACAGATTAGATATTGTTGTTGTGGCGTTGTATTTTCAACAGAAAAACGTGCGACCGCAACCGGACGATAATAATCCGCGACGATGCTGCACGACACGTTGTCCCGCGAATTTCGACGACGGCTGTGGCGGCGGCGGCATAATAATAACAATAATAATAAAGATATTATTATGGGCGGTTATTTTTTTTTTTATTTTACCGCGCGCGTCCGAAATCAATTATTATTATGTTATTGCGTTATCGCCGAAATCGACAAAAACCAAAAACCGTTATTATTACAAACCCGAAAAAAAAAAAAAACAAAACACTGACCGTACGGTACGGCACGCACGCACGTAATAATACGTTTGTACGTTACACGCGATAATGATAATACGAGACCGTGTGTGCGCGCGTACGACTGCAACAACTGTCGGTTAACCGCCGCGACGGCAGCGGATGTAATATTAATGTATTAGGGCGGTTGCTCCCGCTTTCTCGGGCGGTCGTCGTGTGTAATGACAATGATATTATAATATATATTTCTACTATTACACAATAGCGCGCGCAATGCGAACCCGGGGACGACGCGGCTACAAACACTACTGGCCGCGCGTTATGTGCGGTGTATCCGCCGCTGGACCGCCGCCGCGCGCCGCCACCGCATCCAGGGGGTGGTAGTGACTGGCGGCGGCGGCGGCGGCGGCATAGGGGAGGGCGAGTTATCGGGCGGCCGGGACCCGCGATGCCTGTGCACGTCGGCCCGGGTTCGGCTCCCGGGAAGCTGCGCGCGGACCGGGATCCTCCGTCATCGATTCCGCCGCCGCCGCCGCCGCCGTAATAAACGGGGTGCGTGCGCCGTGTACCAGTCCGCCCGGCTACACCCCATACGGCCGCCGCAGCCGCCGCTCTGCTCGCTCGGTCCCTCCAACCCCGCTCCGTTTGGCCGCCGCCGCCGCCGCCGCCGCCCGGTTATTTTTATCCGCGCGCACTCTCCATGAGCGGCGTATCCCGCGCGCGCCGCGGTCATTCGCATCGGCGGATGTTCTACTGGAAAAACATTGCACCGCGCCCTGCCCGTTGTTCTGTATTGAATATATATATATACACGTTATACGTGTACCGCTTTACAACAAGAGGGCGCGTGCGCGATGTACGCTGTATAATAATATATATTTGTGTGTGTGTGTGTGTGTGTATTTACGTTATATCTCTAAAATCTATACACATATAATAAATATATAAATATATATATGTATGTACACCGCACATGTATATACCACGCGGAAGCGTTTCGGGCGGATGTACGGTCTCGCTGGAATTATATTAATATGTATATTACCTGCGCGGTACATATTTGGATAAACCGGGCGATTACAACGTACCGCGACGATTGCTACGACGTACGGTGTAATAATAAAATCGCGCACAATACACAATCGTTATGATATAATATTATTACTTATATAACATATTATATAATAATATATTATTTATTGTTTACTGATTATTGTATACAGGGTGGTTCTTTTAACGCCCTACGCCAGTTTTCTCTGGCAAACAAATTTGCTATATTGTAGTTTTTCTTTTTTAAATCATTTTTTTGTTTATGCTATAATTTTATACAATATTCAAATTTTTAACCTTTTTTTTAGTATTTTCTAGGAATTTTGAAACTCAAATGATAACTTATATATTATAAAAAAAATTACTTTTAAAATTAGGAATAATTTGTAGAACATAATATAAACAATAGTTTTAGTTATCTAAGTTTAAAATTAAATTTAAAAAAAAATATATATATATATAAGTCGATGATAGAGCTCTAGCAAATAATGAAAAAGGTAAACATTTGAATGTCGTCTAACGTTGTACTATAACATAAGTAAAAATGTTTTCAAAAAAAAAAAAAACACTACACAATTGCAATTATTTCAATATTACTAATTGAACAATAAAAGCCAATGTAGTTTAATCCCCTACAGTCAAACAATTTGTCATCGATAAGCTTCAATTTACTGAGGGATGGTACAAAACCACATTGTTTAAGCCTCTGAAAATCCCCTCGATATGTCAACAAAAACGAAAGCCCGACTAAAACTCTGGACAAAGGTTTTGTTGGGGGGCGGACTAACTATTTTATTTAAGGGGTAAAATATAGGCAATATTAAAAATAAATCTTTTTTTTTTACGAGGAAATATTAAAGCGAAATGGTCGTAGAAAAAAAAGAAGGTTGATACCGTTAAAAAATGGGGAAATATAACAGCTAAGTTCTGTGGTCGATGATTTTTTTTTGAAAAACTTTCATACAAAGCAATTAAAAAAGTTTGAAAAAGAATGTCAGTATTAAAACATAATCATTGTGAATGGCTGGGAATATAAGAAAAGGCCGACACCAGTGTCTGTTAAGGGGTAAGGTGTAGGCAATTTTTGACAAGATTATTTGGCAATGCCTTTGAATTCACACTTCCACCGCCAACCGCAAGTTTACATGTTAGACTACATTTTTTTTTCTAGTTTACTTTATTGGCAAAAATTTGAATTTTAACTGGCTGGACTGTGTTTGTGTGTTTCTTAAAGAAACCGCATTGATTACAATAATTGACACATATTGAATTCAACCACACATGGTACCACTCTGCCTCTTATAACGGCTTATTAACTTATTATCAGAGTAACGCGATTAAATACCATTACCATAGTATTAGATAAAACTCATTGCATTAATATATTTACATTGAAATAAACAAAAGTGTTTTAGGTCCTGAACTCGACACACACAGTATAAGAGTTTTAATTGAACGGGGACATAAAATATTATGAAAAGGGTCCGATTCACCCTTTTCATAAACAAACTAAGTTAATTAACTCCTTTCACAAATAAAAGTACTAAATCATAAGCTAGCACTATGTGCAATAGAGCGATGTGAACCAAAACTACTACTTTACCGACATATTATTATTTTATTATGCCTTTTAAATTGTATAAATCGTTAATAGGAACTTTCCCCCCCACTTTACAGTCGAATGTGGTTTAACTAAATGTTCGAATGGCCGTACAAAAAGTCATTTTCGACAAAATTGTGACTTATTATTACCTTTCATACACTATACATTTGGTCTATTCGTGAAATATTAAATAGCTGAAACAAAATACTTAGATAAGAAATAATTAAGTAATATATATATATATGTATATATAGTTACTCTGCTCGTTCAACATAAATTATAATAATATTGTATAATACGGCAGTATTGCAAAAAGAGAAGGGAAAAAAAAGTCGTTATAATTAAAATCCCGACTCGACGCGCCCTTTTAAAAAGATGTTACCCTTTTTATTAAAGACAAAAAAAAAACCATAACGGTACGAATTTAATTATAGAGTTTGTAAAAGACCAACGACATTTTCTGGTATTCATTTTTTTTTTTGCTGGGCGTGGGCGTGGGGGGGAGAGGGCTCTTTAGACCTTAAGTCGTTTGGTAATTAACACATTGGGCGTTTATGTTTTTTTAATTTTATTCCGAGATAATATCTTCATCTATTATCGACTTGATATTATATAACAATTATTGCAACGTCCGTGTTTTGTACATACAATATTATTATTACACATATTGTTTCGCGGACGCTTTGCCTTTGCCAAAGGCAGCAAAACCACATCTCGCACGTTTATGTTATTTGACTTTTGAGTTGAGTTCTACAAGTCAAATTTCGTTTATTAGCAGCATGCTGAAACCCGTGCCGTGAGTGGTCTTTATGGCGAAAACTTTGAAGCTAATTTGCCAAAACTCTAAAACTTGCCAACACACGAGATTAGCCCACTCGCAGTTTTCTTTAGCAAGTTTGTCCATAAACTTTATAACATAATATTATGCTCTACATAAACCAAAGTACACTATCGTGATTGGACCGTTTGGGTAAGATACGATTGTAAATAGTTAGCCGAATACAAGAATACAATTTTTAAACCATTGATCTTGTCGGGAGCTTAAAAGAAAAAGATGATAAACACATAATGATAAGTAATGGGAAAAATGAAAAAGCTTGATAATTTTTTTAATATTTTGCCATTATATTTTTGTTATATGAGGAACAAAATGTCTTTTTTTTTTTACCCCTTTAGTATCTTACAATACAAAATGTCAATACTTAAAATTTTAGTATATATATATATATTTAATTATTAAGCAATCAATTAAATAAAAGTATGAAAATTTAGGGGAGAGGGAATGTATTTTTACAACTTTAAAGCTCTGTAGTAAATGAACTGTATAAGATAAAGTTCTGAAGCTCTTCACAGCACTTCTCTACATGTTAAGGTAATTGTAATAAAATCTTAAATAACGAAATCCGTACATTGGTTTTAGATATCTGCGTGACTAAAGAAAAATTCAGCTAAAATTGATAAATAATTGTTTTAATTGTAATAAACTTAAATAATTTGTTGTTAATTGTTTTAGTTCATATTTTGTATCTTATTGGCAAACTTTTCCTACGATGAGCGTAGACGCGAATTTCTTAAGTGTTAATAAGATGTAACACACACAGAAATTATCTTATATTAAAGCCAAGACAAATATCTATCTTCGCACAGGATTTTGTTTTTTTCTATTCACAACAAGCTATTAAAGTTATTTTTTTAAGAAAATATCAAGAAAGTAAAAATACATATATTCGAACAAACGTTATGGAATAATTTTTACACTTAAATAAATACATTTTTTTTAGGAAGGTTTTTCTCACGTGTAAATCCCTATTACATTTTAATATTATTAGATCTATTAAAAAAAAACTATAGTAGATGATAATTAAATATGATTACTACCCGAATGGAGGAGTGCATGATTTTATAGCCGTCTTCACCACCGATTAAATAGAATGTTTAACAATATTTCAATAGGCCGCTCTATAATAGGTATACAACACTATTTGGACAAATTTAAATTATTGTCAACTGTTTTTGATCGGTTGTCGGTACGACACTACCATATTGATATCCTATACATTCTGTTTCCGCCACGCTTGTAATATGCTTGTTGGCACTTATGCAATGCTAGATCAGAAAAAAAATCTTTCTCGATTTTGGCTAAGAGAAGTCAAGCGACACAAACAAATGTATATATATACATACAGTATTGGCTTAACGCGCAATGACGATATTAATTAATAGAAACCGTTAGGCACGAATAACAACAGCTATTGAAATAATCAGCTGTGGTAAATAGTCAATTATATAAAAAAAAGTAATAAAAAAAAAAAAAAACAATAAACGGATGAGACAATCGAGAAAGAATAATAATAATAAAAAAAATACTATTCGGATTGATGTAAAAAATGGCTTTCTGCAATAAAAAAAGCAACTGAGTGACTGAAAGTGTTAAAAAAAAAAATATATGACAATTGAGTATTTCTATGGTGTTTTAATAAATGGGGATGAGTGAAATAAAAATTTGGGTTTTTTTTTTTTAGAAATTTGGGTATATCTGTTTTAAGTATTTTAAAAATAAAATTGTGTATGTAAGGGCACAGCGGGGTAAGTGGTAGGATTAATTTAAACTTTGTTTAAACTTGATACTTGAGAGATAACGAGAT